GGCCCTCACCCTCACTCACAGCAAAAGTGCTTCGAAGTCAGTGTGCAAAATCTGTCAAAATGACGTTTCAATTTCGTTTTAAGTTTCACATCATGCCTGCACTCGTTTTTCTCTTTCTAACATTGTTAAATGAGTCACTTTTGTTATCATTTGCGCTCCCCAGCGTCTTCCGAAGGGCTTTATTCCTTTCTCCTCTCTACGCAGCAAAAGATTTCGGTCATTTTAAACAAAAACTGTCCCAAATGTTACCCTTTCTCTTCCTATTTGTTGACTCGACTCCCCTTCACGCTGCCAGCGTGTTGGAATAGCTGAGCTGGAGCCAGCTCGTCCTCCCTAAAAGGAGCACAAGCTTGTTTTCACTTTTAGCACTGCGCCCAGCCCACCACAGACAACCGATCAGCTAGGCGGCGGGTGACCTATTGCTAGTGTTGGGAGCAATACTGAGGTCGACCCTCAGCGCGTTTCTTTCCCCACTAAAAGCCATCTGATGCGCTTGAACCTACCATAGGGCGCTAGGAGCCGTGGCTTGGATGGCTGCCTAATGACGGAATAACTTGGACACCGCAGTCACTCCAGTGTGTGTCTTGTTGTGTGGAGTGGCTGACTGGCGGATTGAGAGTCAAGCTCAATGGCTCCTTCTTAATGCGGCCTTTATGGCGCCTACCTAGTAAGGTGGTGATGTTATGGCGCGTGTTGGAGTGTGTTTTACGCACACCGCCTGCGCGCCTTCCCCCATCTCCGGTTTTCCCGAACTTTGACTTGACACTGAGTTTAAGTCTGGGAGTGGTGAGAGAGAGTGGGGTAGATTCTCCGTAAGTCTACTTTCACTATAATCCCGCGGAAGTCTTTGCATCGCCTTAGTCCGCTGAAGCTCGAGGTGGACCTCGTCGATAGCGGCGGTCGAATTGTCGTATGGTATCTCCCTCCCTCCTATCACTCGCTTTTTTTTCTACTCTGAATACTCCTCCCTCATCCTTTATCTGGTCTGCTTTGCCGAAGTCCTATATTTTTGTGTGTTTTCCCTCTGCAGATCTTCTTCAAGAAGCACGAAAAGCTCATAAATAGCGCTAAACGCCGGCAGAAGGATGCCAAGCATCGCGACATCTTTGAGAAGATGTTCCCGGAGGTGAAGAAGATTCGTGAAGACCAGGAGCGCAGCCAGACTGATGGAGCCAATGCTAATGGCGCTGACTCTCATGGTATACTTGTATTAACCTCCTTGTGCACGCCCGTACAGTAGCCAGCCTATCTCAGGAAGTGTTGACCAGAATATTCTCAAAACTTTGTTGCCTTTCAGTTAGAAAGGAGGACTACTTACGTGGTGCTTTAATTCTGATTACCTTGCGGCTTAAAACGAAGATATTTCAATCACGACGGAATGCCGGCTCTCGATAAAAAACGAATATTTACAATGGACTCTATCTCATAAAATGTCGATCGAAATTCTGAACTGTGTTTTAGATCCGAAATAATGACTTAACTGGCGTTATAATGCTGATCATCGTACAACCTAATCCCAAGATACGCCAATCACGTCAGGCTGCCAGCTTTTTAAGATCTGCTTTCTGACTGCCTGCAACAAGTGTACTGTGTACAAAATGGCTACTCAAGTACTATGCATTTTTCTTATTGGATTTCACAAAAGTATTCTTCCTTGCACTTGATACTTGGTGCGGTTTGATTGGCTACGTTTCGGAAGACAAGCGTCTCACATGCCGAGCTTGGTCTCGGAAGGAATTAAACACATTAACCGAGGTTCCACTGTAACCGAGATGTCGTTCTATTGCAGGCGGCCGCAAAAGAAGCTCATCCAGAAGCCGACTGATATTTCTTGTGAGTAGGACTTGCGACTTAAAGCTAAAATATTTCAATCACCACGGAATGCCGGCTCTCGATAAAAAAAATGGATAGTTACAGTAGATTCCCTATCTCATGAAATGTCGACCGAAATTCTAAAATGTGCTTTTACTTCGAAAAAAAATGAGTCAAGTAGCGTCGTATTACTGATTAGCGAACAACCTAATCTCAGGATACGTCAGTCACGTCAGGGTGCATTTCGTCGAGTTGAAATATCATTCGTAATTACAAACTTTTTATGAGCTCTCAAGGCGCACTTTTCTCAAAATTTGATGATGGCATGATAAACTACCAAATGCGTACAAGAGAAGGAATATTTTCGTGTATATTTTCGATAAAATTTACAGCAGGGCCTCGAGTGACCAGGAGTCCTGGGCTACGAGAATTTGAGATAACGAGCGAGCCGCTAGCAGAACATTTGTTTCGATTGACGAG